GAGAGATCACATACACACACACACACACACACACACAACCTCCTGATCAGTCGGAAACGGTCTGCCACAGTGTTGTTTTTTTTAGTGTATAGCGAATATGACGACACACACAAAAAAAAAAGCCCAAGCAGTGTGACAACAACAGCCCCGCCCTGCTGTCCGTCCCTCTCCTCAGCCGCAGCGTGGCTGCCGCAGGTCCACTTGTTATTATTATTTCTTGATTGAATAAGAGGGGAGGAGATAAGGGGGAGGAGAGTGGTTGGCGAAGAAGAAGAGCATTATCATGGGTCTATGCTGGTGTACATCATCTTCTTCTACTTTCTTTCTTCTTCGTATTCTGCTTTCCCTCTCTTTCCTCTCAAGTTCATTCATTTCTCTTTGCAATTGGACGGCATTGTACTTTCTGATGAATGTGTACTTCGAACTTGGCCAGGATCATAACAACTCTCTACAAATATTCTATTTCTCTACCTACTTGCAGAATTGCCCCTCGAACTGCCCCTGTACAGTTGGTTCCTGTCCGGAGGTAGTGCACAATGTCCTGCAGCACAGACATACCATTCGCAAAAGGCAATCACCACTGTGTTAGATGAAACTTGCTGCAATTGCCATGCTCCAAGTTCAATCACGATGCAAAATCCCAATGTGAGACAAGAATCACAACACAAAAGGATGAAGAATGAGTACAGGAGAAGATAAGGAGAGAGTGAAGAGAAGAAAAGAATGGAACAAACTCAACTGTTTCTGTCACATGCCTGTCGGTGGCTAGGTGTGGCACAGACCCAAGAATCACCAGAGCGGAGAGAAATAATACTACACTGCAGCAAAGTCTGATCTAAACCTTCTAACTCATAGAAACAGGACTCAGGCATTACACTCACCATCAACAACAAGATGGCTAGATGGGTGACATACACAGAATAAAGGTGCCTCCTTGCGCAGAAACAAACATGGGGAGAAACCATGGACTATGACGGGATGGAGAGGATGAAGATAACCAAGAAGACAAGGAGGGTCAACATACGGAGGCCCAGATATAATAAGCCGAAGTATAATAATCTCTCCACCAATCAACTACGCCTCTAATGACCTCCGGAACACAATGCTGCAGTCTGAACCCCGAGAAGTCTCGAGAAAAAGACACCCAATCCCTCTCTCCCTCCCTCTCTCTCTCTCTCTCTCTCTCTCTCTCTCTCTCTCTCTCTCTCTCTCTCTCTCTCTCTCTCTCTCTCTCTCTC